CACTACTATTGCTACTAATACTACTACTACTACTACTACTACTACTAATACTACGACTACTACTAGTACTACCTACCTACCTACCTACCTACCTACCTACCTACCTACTTACCTACCTACCGACCGACCCACCTACCTACTATGACTACGACTACGACTACGACTACTGCTACCGACTACGACTACTACGACTGCTACGACTACTACCACTACTACTACTACTACTACTACTACTACTACTACTACTACTACTACTACTACTAGTACTACTACTACTACTACTCGACTACTACTACTACTACTACTACTACTACTACTACTACTACTACTACTACTACTACTACTACTACTTACTACTACTACTACTACTACTACTACTACTACTACTACTACTACTACTACTACTACTACTACTACTACTACTACTGCTACTGCTACTACTACTACTACTACTACTACTACTGCTGCTGGTGCTGTTGCTGCTTCGAATACAACCACGATTAGTAATACGACTACTACGACTGATAAGCACACGCATTCTAAGCATGATAGCCCAGAGCGTATCCAATCAAAACGCTACCAACAGAGTCTAGGATCACTCACAAGACTCATAAGAATGTAAAAGGCGCATTGCCCACTCTGAGGGCTACATGGCGAAGCTACCCATTGCGCGACGCAAGAGAGCTGACACCAAACGAAAGCAATGTGCAGGCGTAAGGCGCAATCCCCCTGGGCATCCAAGGAGCACATGAAAGTACTGGTAAATGATGATGCCACCGCCGTGTATCAAATGATGATGATGATGATGATGATGATGATGATGATGATGATGATGATGATGATGATGATGATGATGATGATGCGGATGGGAAGGTCAAATTTGATCCGCGCATGTCGCCAATCCACTGGACATCCCTCGAGCACACGAATGAGCCGACAGGTTCGCAATTAGTAACGCCCAGCGGCTCCCAGGAAACGGAGGTAATAGTTCGAATCCGCGTGGAGTCGCACTGCGCTGGACCTCCAAGGAGCTCACGAAAGCGCCGGCAGTTGCCCAGTTGCTAGCGCCAGGGGAGGGAATTCGAACACCCGGCCCGCGCATAAGATGGCACTCCGCTGGGCCCCCCCGGAGCTCATGAATGTGCCCATGGCTTCGGAGGTAGAAGATCCAGGGCAGCAATAGCGTCGATCTGCGCAGCACCGCGCCCCGCTGGGCCTCCCAAAAGCTTGAGCAAGCGCCGACGGCTCGCGGCAGTCCAGGAGGAAAGCAGAGGTCTGGATCAGCCCCCCGCTCCCCGCCCACACACGCCAAAGACAAGGGGCCGAGCATCGGAAAGTAAGTGGTCGGCCCTGACCCGAACATCAGATCGGACAGCGGCGGCTGCACTAGCGAAGGCAGGGGCGCCGCGAGGAGCGGCTGCCGCACCCCCTGCACCGCCTGCAGCGGACGCAGCCCGCACGTCACCTCCAGTGCGCACTGCTGCGTTAGCTGCGCTGCGGCTCTTGGCCGACAACCGGACCCTGTGAGCCGCGCTAGCTTCGCGAGCGCTCCTCGCATGCTGCGCAACCTGACAGGGCAACTGTTTCGCCAACTCCTGAGCTCCAGAAGTCAAACTCCCAACCCTCCTGGTGACCCCTGTCTTGACAGAGTCCTCTAGTTTTGTGCCTCCAAGTGCAAAGCCTTCCAAGACGTCAAATCCGATGACGGGGCCGAGACCCTTCTTGCCCGATATGAGGTCAACTATTTGGGAAGCAGCACCAGCAGCAGCAGTTTCCGAGTGTGGCCGCCTGCCTTTTTGACTGAAGTTAATATCGAGGATGTGTGTGCGCTTGGTTTGCTTTGTCGGAAGCTTCGCGGGAATAGCGAAACTCGCCTTCCTGTTCATGAAGTTCCTGACGGGACTGGCCCGTCCTTGCAGACCACTGCTCAGTATTATCCTTCACACCCTCAACGCGCTAGCATGAGTCATCTGCCTCTTGGCGTGGACGCGCTGGCAAATACAAGCTTGGCGGCTTCCCTGAAACGAACATACCATGTCACGATAGCGTGTTGCCACAACTGGGGCCCCCACCTTGGCGAACGAATCTCCCAACCGGTGAGCCTCTTCCGCCCAGATGTTATCAGACACTGGTCCCGCAGGAACTGGCGGGACACCTCATCCAGCATCTTTTCCATTCGAACCTCCCAGGGAAACACTTTTTCCGTCAGCGGCGAGGCGGCGAACTCCGCTCAAGCGAAAAGCTAGAAAGGCACACTAGCTAGCGAATTGGCCGGCGGGCAAAGAGGGGGGGGGGGGGGACGGCCGAGAGGAAGAAGGGACGCTCAGACGTCGAAGAGTTCGACGATGAGCAGCCAAAGGGGGCAGCAGCAGCCAGGCGCGCAGGGCCAGAGCGCGGTGGAAGGCCGTGGCAAACCACGGTGGCAAGGTCCCACGGAAACACACACCCTCGTCTTCCATCCTCCCACTCCTCCTTCCCCTCTCGGGCGAACGCAATCATGGATTACGGATTCCGTGGATCTTGGGGAAAGCAAAAGGAACCGATACCGCTACTCCCCGGACCTCTCTCGGGGTGCGTTCTGACCAGAATTTCGAAGCGAATCCAGCGGTGGCGACGAGGGCCTCCCAGGAGGCCCCAGAGGGGGAAAACAAGGGAGGGGTAGCGGTATGGGTACTCCAGATTTCGTAATAAAAGGGAGGGGGTCTGGACCCTCCAAGACAAGCCATTTCAGACCTCCCCCGTGGGAGAACCCTCAAAAACATCGTCCCCAGACCCCCCAGGCCCTCCAAGATAGCCTGGAAGAGACCCCCCCGAAAAGAGACCCCCCTCCCTTTATTACGAAATCTAGAGTACCTGTTCCTCCTCTGAGATCTGGCGCGCGGGCGCCAGATCCACTGATCGGAGGCGATGCCTCCCCGAAACACGAGGCCAGCGCCGCCCGATGAGGCGATGGAACGCGCCGATCCTGCAGGGAAACAAGGGCCTGTCGCCACACCCGCGCGCCTCAGTCCACGTTGTTGCGCTTCCTTGACCCTCCTCCCCCTCGTCCTTCGCCATCCCCCCCCCGCTCCCTCCCCATCGATCGCCCTCCCCCTCCCCTCGCCCTCCTCCCCCCTCCCTCTCCCTCCTTCTCCTTCTCCTCCTCCTCCTCCTCCTCTCCTCCTCCTCCTCTCCTCCTCCTTCCTCCTCCTAATACTCCTCCTCTCCTCTTCCTTCTCCTCCTCCTCCTCCTCCTCCTCCTCCTCCCCTCCTCCTCCTCCTCCTCCTCCTCCTCCTCCTCCTCCTCCTCCTCCTCTCCTCCTCCTCGCTCCTCCTCCTCCTCCTCCTCCTCCTCCTCCTCCTCCCCTCCTTCCTCCTCCTCCTCCTCGCTCCTCCTCCTCCTCCCTCTCCTCCTCCTCCTCCTCCTCCTCTCGTTCTCCTCCTCTTCTTCTTCCTCACTGTTTCCTCCCTCCTCCCCATCCTCTTCCTCATCCTCCTACCTGCTCCTTCGCTTCCTCCTCCCTCCTCCCTCCTCATCCTCCTCCTCCTCCTCACTCCCTCATCATCTCAATCATCTCAATCATCATCATCATCATCCTCATCATCATCATCATCATCATCATCATCACCATCATCATCATCATCATCATCATCATCATCATCATCATCATCATCATCATCTCTCACCATCATCATCATCATCATCATCATCATCTCATCATCATCATCATCATCAGCATCATCATCATCATCATCACATCATCATCATCATCTCATCATCATCATCATCATCAACATTAGCATCATCATCATCAGCATCAGCATCATCATCATCATCATCATCATCATCATCATCACCATCATCATCATCATCATCATCATCACCACCACCACCACCACCATCATCATCATCATCAGCAGCAGCAGAAGCAGCAGCATCATCATCATCATCATCATCATCATCATCATCAGAATCAGCATCAAAATCATCATCCTCATCATCATCATCAGCAGCAGCATCATCATCATAATCAGCAGTATCATCATCATCAACAACAACATCATCATCATCATCATCATCATCATCAGCAGCAGCAGCAGCAGCATCATCCCTCTCCTCCTCCTCCTCCTCCTCCTCCTCCTCCTCCTCCTCCTCCTCTCCTCCTCCTCGCTTTTTTTCCTCCTCCTCCCCCTCCTCCTCCTCCTCCTCCTCCTCCTCCTCCTCCTCCTCCTCCTCCTCCTCCTCCTCCTCCTCCCACTCGCCTCGCACTGCCGGGCGGCGTGCCAGTCGCGCTCGAACCCGCGGCGCAGCGCGGCCGGCTGGCAGGCGTACCTGAGAACCCGCACCCCGACGTCGCAACTGTTTTCAGGGCGCGGACTTTCAGAGATCTCGACCCGTTCCCCAGGACTGGTTCTTCGTCCCCAGCCGAGGCCTGGCGAGGGCGCCCGAGGGCCGAAAACAACGAGAACAAACAAAAAAAAAAACGCCGTGACGCGTTCGAACCCGATGGGGTCTGGGGAGACGGCGACCGCCCTCGGACGGAGGCAGCCGCCACCGCGGGTGGCGGCGGGAGGTTGGAGCACCACAGGGGGAGCAGGTCAAATTTTCATCAATGCCGTCGCTCCTGCTAGAGCGACGAATAAAAAAAACGAGGAGGAGGCTCACAATAAAACCAAACCGAGATGCATCAACGATCCAGCAATACACCCTCCCCATCCACCCTCATCCCTTCCTCCACCCTCCTCCTCCACCTCCTCCTCCTCCTCCTCCTCCTCCTCCTTCGCCTCTCCCTCCTCTCCGCCTCCTCCTCCTCCTCCTCCTCCTCCTCCTCCTCCTCCTCCTCCTCCGCCCCGGCCTCCGCCTCCGCCTCCTGACCGGCCGCGCGAGGGGAGGGAAGGGGAGAGCAGGGCGCGATCGCGCGCGCGTGATAGCCCCCGGGAGGAGGATCAGCAGCAGCAGCGGCATGAAGAAAGAAAGAGGGTGGGGGGTCCCCCCTGATAGCTCTTCCTCGGTCCTGGATCCTGGATCCTCGATTTTCGTTCCTCGAAACTCGATCCTCCTCCTCCTCCTCCTCCCCCTCCTCCGCCTCCTCCTCCTCCTCCGCCTCCTCCGCCCCCTCCTTCTCCTCCTGCGCTTCCCCGAAGAGCAGGCAAGGCGAGCAAGGATGCCCCTGAGGGGGGCTCCTGGGCGGCCTTCTGCGCGCCGAGGTGCTCGGCCTGCAGGCGGCCGTTCTCCTTTGCCAGCTCCTGGCACCGGTCTCGCGCCTGACGGCGTCGGGGCTTCAAGGGAGGAGGGGGAGGGATGGAGGAGGGGAATGGGCCAGGAGGGAGAGGGAGGAGGGGGAGGGAGGAGGGGGAGGGAGGATGAGGGGGAGGGAGGGAGGAGGGGGATGGGCCAGGAGGGAGAGGGAGGAGGGGGAGGGAGGAGGAGGGGGAGGGGCGAAGAGGGAGAGGGGCAGCAGCAGCAGCAGCAGGATGAGCAGCAAGACGAGGGGCCAGAAGCGGGCGGAGCAGGGGAGAGGAGCAGAACGAGAGAGGGAGGGCCCCTGCCCCACGCTCTGCTCGTCCCCTCCTCCTCTTCCTCCTCCTGCTCCTCCTCCTCCTCGTCCTCCTCCTGCTCCTCCTCCTCCTCCTCCTCGGCCTGTTGTTGTTTTTTTCGCACTGTTCCTCCTCCTCCTGCTCCCCTTGTGGCTGCTCATCCTGCTCTTTCTCTTCCTCATGTTGTTCCCCGTCGTGCTCTTCCATTGCCTGATGCTCCTCCTCCCCCTCAACCTCCTCATCGTCCACCTCGTCAGAACCCTCCTGCCTGCGTCCACATGCTCCCCCTCCTTCCCCCCAGGCGCCTTACCGCGCGCGGGATGTGGAGGAAAATGAGGAGAGGGAGGAATGGTTCAGGAATGGGAGGGAGAGAGCAGGAGAAAGGAGGAATACGGTGTCTCGCAATTGTCCGTCGGGACTCCTGCTGCCGCGGCTGAATCCCTCCAATCGAAATCCTCGGCAGCACGGGAGCCGCTAATGAGGAAGGGGGCAGGGCAGGAGTTGAAGGAGAAGGAGGAGCAGCAGGAGGGCAGCATGGGGGAGGGAGAATGGAGGGATCGGGCATGTACATATAGATGTACACAAGTATGCTTGATACCGGTGCTACATGCACATATATATATATATATATAGATGCATGCATAGGTAGTTATACACACACGCCTGCATACATACATATATACACATGTTATATATATGTGTATATGATATGTGTGAATTCGCCCAATTGTTATTATTTCTATCTTCACCTGCGACTCGCGACGAGAGCATCACGGATACCCGCCGCAGACGGAACCCGGTGCGGGGCGACGGGAGAGGAAGACGGGGTCGGAGAAGGAAAGGGCGAAGTGAAGAACCTCCTCCTCCTCGTTCTCCTCTTTCTCCTCCTCCTACTCCTCCACACCTTGCTCCACACAATCCTCCTCCTCCTCCTCCTCCTCCTCCTCCGCCTCCTCCTCCTCCTCCTCCTCCTCCTCCGCCTCGTCCTCCTTCTCCAAACCCTCGTCCTCCTCCTCCTCCTCCGCCTCGTCCTCCACCTCCCCCTCCTCCTCCTCCTCCTCCTCCGCCTCCTTGCTCTCCTTCTCAAAGTCCTCCATATTATTCTCTTCCTCCTCCTCCTCTTCCCCCCCCCACACTCCTCCTCCTCCTCCTCCTCCTCGTCTTCGTCCTCGTCCTCCTCCTCCTCCTCCTTCTCAAAATCCTCCTCCTCCACCCTCTCCTCCTGCTGCTCCTCCACCTCTGCTTGCTCCACACATTCATCCTTCTCCTCCTCGTCCTCCTTCTCCTCCTCCATTCCTTTTCCTTATCAATATTTTCTCCCTGTCGCACCCCGCGGCCAGTTTTTAGGGCGGGCCGGGAGATTCATGATTCTGAAACTTCAAAGCTGCAACGGTTTCACTGATGGAGGGCGGCTCGTTTTCAACATGTGGCTCTCGCCTTCGCGCCGCGCATGTTCCCTTTAAACATTTGCAAGCATTTCACGGATCGAGGGCGGGTGGTTTTCATCATGTGGCTCTCGCCTTAGCCCCGCGCGCATTCGTTTTAAAACATTTGCAAGAGTTTCACGGATTGAGGGCGGGTGGTTTTCACAATGTGCTCTCGCATTAGCGCCGCGCACATTCATTCTACAAGCTTGTGAACATTTGCGGCATGAGTACGGGTGGTTTTCAAAATGTGGCTCTCGCCTTAACGCCGCGCACATTCGTTCTAAAAATGTTCAATAATTTCACGGGTTGAAGGCGGTTCCCTTTCAAAATGTGCCTCTCGCTGTAGCACCGCGAAGATTCATTTAAACATTAACAAGAGTTTGACGGATTCGAATGATCAACGTGCCAGCAATGGTGTGTTGGAAGGACTCAGGATTATGCGGGCGCAACAGTCACGTTTGCTCGCAGTGGTGAAGCCCCCCAAACGGCGTTCTGGCACGAATCCAGATCGTCAAGACGGAGCAGTTAGGTTGATCCGTGGTATGGAAATCCTGAGAGCAATGTTTTGGCATGCTTCAAGGTCTTCAAACGGTTGTCTTTCAACGAGGCAGTTCCCTCAATGGAAATGAATCGCTGTAGGGGCTTATGAAGAGGGAGCTTGGCGGGAGGGTGCATTCCAACATCGCTGGCGACTCTTGGGTTTACACAGGTCCTCTTCATGTTCCTTGCCCTCTTTCTCCAAATCCTCGTCCTCCTCCTCCACCTCCTCCTCCTCCCGCTCCTCCTCCTCCTTCCTCTCCTTCTCAAAATCCTCATCCTCATCCTTCTCTTCCTCCTCCTCCTCCTCCTCCTCCTCGTCGTCGTCCTCCTCCTCCTACTCCTCCTCCTTCTCAAAATCCTCCTCCTCCTCTTCCTCCTCCTACTCCTCCTCCTCACTCTCCTTCTCAACATCCTCCTGCTCGTCCTTCTCCCGGGGAGCCACGCTGTGAGCAGATCACGACGTCGGGTGTCTGGAGTCACCCCCCAGGGGGCGCGGAGGCAACCTCGCCTCGCGCGCCGCGGCGGGGGCCGCCGAGCAGGCCGTCCCCGGGGGCGGGGAAGAGTTCGATGGTGGGCCCCGGCTGCGGGCCGCGCCCGGGGCGGCGGGCACGGGCAGACGAGGAGAGGGAGGGATGCGGGCAAGATGTCGATCCACATCGAGTGCGTCTTGGACTTGCTTGGAAGGGGCGCCAAAAGGTCGAGGCGCACGGGATATGGATGAACATCGAGTCTCCAGGGGGGACAGTGATCCTGGCCCAGTGCGCGTCGTGTTTCTGGGGGAGGGAGCCCGAGACTTCAGACTGCAGTAGATTTGGACAGGAGCCTTGCCCGCAAGGGAGGAGGGGGGAAGAGTTAGGGGAGTCTTGTTCGGAGGCTCGTTTTAACATGTGCCGCCGCGGCTAAGTAACCTTTGGTGGCATCGGGCGGCCTGTGGTGTGCGTGTGTGTGTGTGTGTGTGTGCGTGTGTGTGTGTGTGTGTGTGTGTGTGTGTGTGTGTGTGTGTGTGTGTGTGTGTGTGTGTGTGTGTGTGCGTGTGTCTTCTTAGCCGCCTTCAGTGGCCGTTAGACGCCCTTCTAGCAGCCTTCGGTGGCTCCCAGCGGCCTTTAGCAGCCTTTAGTGGTCTTCAGAAGCATGTGGTAGCCTTAAGATGCGAAAGAGCGTACTATGCATGTTAAAACAAGCTTCCAGAGAGACCCACTTAAATGAAGACTGGAACCATCACACGCGCGCTTCGCGCGCGCACAAGTTCTAGCCAAGGCCGGGAGGGCGCTGGAAGATCTTGGACAGTGCTATCAAGCACAGGCGCGTGACATAGTCGTGCCTCCTGAGGGCCTCTTGGGGACCTCTTGGATCTTCGTGGGGGCATCTGAAGTGCTTCTGCGGGGTTCTCCGTGCCTCCTCAATTTGCTGTTGGAAGCACCTCTTGGGTGCTTCTCGGGGGGGGCGGTCTTGGGGCTTCTTGGGGTCCCTTGGGAACATCGTCGGGGTTTTCCGGGCAGTCGGAAGGTGATGCTCTGCAATCTGAAACCGTCATTGGCCGTCTTGGCTGCGTGGCAAGCTTGGGGCCCCTTGTACGTCTCCTTGGGGCCTTTCGGGGCCACTTGGGAGGCTTATGGGGGCCTCGTCGGACCACTTGGAGACTCCTGGGGCCTTCTCTGGGCCTCTTAGGGCAACTCTGCTGTTGGGTTCGCGTTCCCATTCTTGGGTCTCTCTTGGGACCGTCTTGGGGCCCTCTCGGGCCGTCTTGGGCGCCTCAGGCACCGTCTTGTGGCCTCGTGGGTTGCCTTGGGGCGCTCTTGGAGGCCTCTTCGGCTATCGTGGAGCGGTCTTGGGGGCCTCGTGGGCCGTCTTGGAGCGTCGGGAGCCAAAGGCTGAAACGCTAAAATGCACCAAAACCCAAAAGGGAAATCCGTGATTTTGGCTTCTTGGGGCCCTGTTGGGAGTGCGGGCCATCCGAAGCCATCTTGGGCGCGTTAGAACGATGACTCCGAAATAGTAAGTCTCCTGGAGGCCTCTCGCATAGTAGGCCTCCTGGAGGCCTCTCGCGGCCCTATTCATCTGTGTTGGGGCTGTCTTGGGCGGTCTGGAAACGTCCCTGGCGCCACGACAGCCCCATGGCGCGTCGGGGGCCTCCCGCCTCGGCCCAAGGATATATATATATATATAATATATATATATATATATATATATATATATATATTAAATGCATATACGCTGGACATATACATATCATATGTCTATATAAGTGGATTCGGGGGCCTCTTAGAAAGAAATTTGAAGCCTTTTGGGTGCCGTCTTGGGGCTGATTGGAGCCTCTTTTGGGCTTCTTGGGGGCCTCTTCGGGCCTCTCTGGGGTCTCTTGGGGCCTCTTGGGGGCTTCCTGGGGCCCTCTTAGGGCCTCTTGGGGCATGGGGCGGAGAGCTTGATTTTTCAGTTCGCGTTTCCTCTCTTGGGCCCCTCTTGGGGCCTTCTTGGGACCCTCTTGCGCCGTCTTGGGCGGCTCTGGGGCCGTCTCGGGGCTCTCTTGGGCCGTCTTGGAGCGGTTTTGGGAGCCTCTTGGGCAACGCTTTAGCGCCGGAAACACCAAACAGCGAGAATACAAAAAAATGCTAAACAAAAACGATGAAAATCAACGATTTTGCCCTCTCGGGGCGCTCTTGGGCGGAATCTTAAAGGCCTCTTGGGGCGTCTTGGGGGCCTCCAGGGCAGTTTAAAATGCATCGTGCGTCGCCAGAGAACCCTGGACGGCGTCTTTCGGGAGCGGCCAAGAGGGGGGTGTCCAAGAGGGGGGGGTGCAAATCATGACCGGCGGCATGTGCGCGGCCCAGCGGGGGGGCCAGGGACGTAATGAAATAAGAAGAGGCGCCATGAAATCTGGGGAAATATCATGGCCCCCGCCATGATATCCACCCCCCCTAGTCATCACCCCCCTCTTTTCCGCCCCCGAGTCTTGGGGTGTTTCGAGACCGTCTGGGGCCGCCGGGATTGCTGTCTGAGGGCTCCCCGGGGCGATTTGAAGCCTCCCACAAGCGGGGCCGGGCCCCGGGGCCCACATTTGCGGTCGACGTTCCGGCTCCGGCCCCCGGGCCGGGTGGGCCGTTATACCCATAAGAACGGGGCAGGACGAGGAGGACCAGGAGGAGGGGGGAAGAGAGTTGATGGTGGACACTGGCTGCGGGCTGCGCCCGAGTCGACAGGCACGGGCACTGAGAGAAAGAGGGAGAGAGAGAGAGAGAGAGAGATGGGGCATTTAGGTGAGCTTTCTTGGAAGCTCATTCTACCATGTACCGCCTCGGTTTAATAACCTTTGATAGCCTTCAGCGACCGTCAATGTGTTATTAGCTGCCTTTTGTGGCCTTCGGTTGCCCGTTTGCGGCCTTTAGTGGCGCATAGCGGCCTTTAGCGGCCTTTAGCAGCCGCTAGGAGGAGACTCCCCGTCGACGCTCCTTCGGTGCGTTGCTCTGCCTCCCCCAGGCAGCTGCGGTTCGCCTGCCGCACAGGGGGCCGCGCTGTCAGGCTCCGCCTGCTTGTGCCCCCTCGGGCGCTGCTCCCTAGTGGGGCGACAAGATAGAGGGAGGTGGGACGTGTGGGGGGGAGAAACGTACAGTCGGTGCGTTGACCCAAGGAACGACAAATAAGGAGCGAGGCCCCTTCTTCCCATAAGTCAAACTCCGATTCCCCATGGAAGACCTGGGGAAAACCCACGGAGCGCTGTGAAACAACTAAGGAACACGGAGCCCCTCCCAAACGAAAAGGGTTCCTTCTTCAGGGCCCCGACTGTCCACGTTCACAGCCCCTTGTGGGCCCCAAAGGGCCCCTTTTCTGACACGAAGGGTGCGCCTGTCTTCCCCCCCCCCCTCGATCGCCCCCACATCAGGCAACGCCCGAGCATCACCAGCCAATGGTGTCACCGATGCGCAGCTCCCTGCCACCGCCCGGGCACGGGCGCGGGATGCCGCTTGTGGTGTGGTCCTGGCTCTACTGTCTAAGCAAGGTTCGCGCTGGCAGGGCCCACCTGCTGGAAGCCGAGCCAGGACGAGAAGTGATGTGGAACATGCTGGAGGCCTCGCGCGATGAGTTGAGACCCGAGCGCACGTCGGATCCGTAGTGGATGTACGTCGGGTTCACGTCGAGTTACGTCGGCCTGACGCCGGAGCATTGCCGCGCGAACGTCGCCCCATATCTATGGGGGTGGACGTGCTGAACAGATATCAGAACTACTGCGCGCCTCGCGAGGCCTCTAGGATGTTCCTAATCTGAGAAGGCGGAGGACGAAGGGCATAATAGGGCAAGACGCTAGGATATATCAAGAGGGTCAGCACCAACGGCAGACAAGCATGGTATACGTGTGCTGGTGCTCCTGGAAGAAGAGGGCGAGACGGCGCCCTCCTCCCCCTGCTGCTACTCGCTCTGAGATGCAGCTGATCAGGCTCTTCCCATGCACCTCCTCCTCATCATCATAATTACCCTTCTCCCTTCCCCCATCCACGAGAAAAAAAACACTATGGCCAACTCCACAACACCCCCTTCCGTTCCCATCCCCCTCCTCCGCCTCCCTCCCCCCCCCGTGTCAGCTCCGAGTACTCCTGTCCTCAGCACGCTGAAACCAGCGCCCATCTTCGGAGGGGCGGGGTCACAGCGGCCCTTCTCGTCATTGGGTCACCCGTTCAGACTCCTCGTCGTCGGCGTCCTCCATCCCATCTTCTTCGCATCCGATTCGTCCTTCCTCGTTCTCCTCCCCCTATTCCTCATTGCGCCCTGATCCCCATCCACTGATCCCCTCCATTCGTGTCTCATCCAGAAGCTTCCCCATGCTTCTCATCATCCTTGCATGCCTCCCATCGTCCTCAGACTTCTTCCACCACTCCTCCTCTCTCTCCTCATGCTAATCCTCATTTCATGCTACTCATTCTCCCTGCTCGTCCCCCTTCTCTTCCTCCTCCCGTCGTCACGCGCCTTGCCGACCACCTCCTGAATGCTGTCGGCCTTGTCCTTCTCAGCGGCCGCCAGCTTGTCCTGAACAGCTGCAGTCTCACAGGGACGATGATACTGAAGGGGCCCCAGGACACACAAATAAATACACACAAATAAAAATGTCCCCCATATTTTCCCATATTTCCTGGGATTTTGTCTTCCCCCCCACTTCCCATATTTTCCCATATTTTCTGGGAATCGCCGATTAATTGTGTCTGTGTGTTTTTCCCCCTCCTGAGATACATATGCCAGAGGAGGGATAAAGAAAGGATAAAAGGGGGAAGGATGGGAGAGGCAGGGGGGGGGGCACCGCAACAGAAGGGACGAGAGAGGGGGGGGGGGGGGAATGCCACTCGGAGAGGGTGAGGCCCCCTCCACCTCTGCAGACTCGGCTCGGGGGCCGAGGGCATCCGCTCGGATCCCAAGCCCCTCGGAGGGAGACCCTCCCGGAGGAGCCGCCGCGGCCAGCCGGCGGCGGCCCCGCGGTTCAGAGGGCGATGCCCCGCCCCGCCCGTGCTTTTTTGCCACGCAGGGCCGAGGGGCCGAAGACCGCCCGGGCTCACGCCCCCCTGGGAGTGACGAAACAGCCACGACGAGCAACTGCGCCCCAGGAAGTGGGGGTGGATCATTCGGGTCGGGCGAAATGGGGGGATAGCAAAGGGGGGGGTTGAGAATCAGCTCACGTAGCTGATTTTCCCGGCGCCTCCCGGCGCCAGAGGAAGCCATGTATCGAGGAATGGGCCCCTCGGCGAGGCCGAAACCAGCTGCATGCAGCAGATTTTGTAACCCTCCTTTCCCAATCCCCCCCTTTCCTTGGGATTGATTTAAGCATTTGCGCTCGTTTGCGCTGTTTCGGTCTTTGGACAGATTTTCCTCGCATTCTGGCGTCGTGAGGGCCGAGCGAGGGCCACCTTTTGTTGTTGTTGTTGTTGTTGTTGTTGTTGTTGTTGTTGTTGTTGTTGTTGGTGTTGGTGGTGGTGGTGCGTGTTGTTATTGATATATACATATATTCACATACATATAGTACTGTGGGGACTCCTATGGATTCCTATGGCGAAGCGTGCGGAGTCCTATGAAGATTCCTATGGAGGCCTACGGGGTGTCCTACGGATTCCTATGAGGATTACTATGGATTCCCATGGGTGTTCCCATGGATTCGTATCGGGATTTCGATGGATCCCTATGGGGGGTTCTACGGATTCCTATTGGGGATTCCCCTAGGAATTCCTATCGGGATTCCTGTGGATTCCAATGGAATATTTGGGGGATGCCTATGGAATCCTATGGGGCGTCTTACGGATTCCTATGAGGATCCCTTTGGATTCTTATGGGGTTCCCCATGGGCTCCTATGGATTCCCGTGGGGATGTCTACGCGAATTCCTATGGATTCCTTGTGGTTGGCTCTTGGGGTTTCATGGGGCTTCTTGGGCTTATTTGCAAGCGGGCTGGCTGGTTGGCCTGTGGGCTGGCTGGCTGGGTTGGCGGGGGCTGGTTGGCCGGTTGGCCACTTGGTTGGCTGGTCGATCGGTCCTGGGATGTCCGGGCTGCTGATTGACTGCTCGGTTGGTTGGCTGTTTGGCCGGCCGGTCGGCTGGCCAGCCAGATGGCTGGCTGGCGTGTTGGTTGGCTGATTTGCTGGCCCGCTGGCTGGCAGACGGGCTGGCTGGCTTGCCGGCCGGCAGGCCAGATGGCCAGTTGGCTGGGAGGAGGAGGAGGAAGGAGATCATGAGGATAAGGAGGACGGGGTGGTGGAAGAGAGGGGGAAAGGAGGAGGAGGATCACAAGCCTCCTTCCTCCTACCGACTCATACCACATCCTACCCAGGTTAAGAAGAAGTATAATGAGGTAGAAGCAAATAGGGGAAATTAGGATAAGGTGGAGGGAGGCAGGACGAGGTACGACGAAGAGGAGAGAGGAGGAGAGAGGATAACGTAGGAGATAGGAGGTAGGAGGAGGCAGGAGGAAGTAGGAGGAGGTAGGAGGACGTAAAAGGAAGTAGGAGGAGGTGGGAGAAGGTACGAGGAGGTGGGAGGAGGCAGGAACGAGTAGGAAGAGGCGTAGGAGGAGGGGGGGAAGTAGACAGGAATATAGCATATGGGAGGAATTGTGAAGGTAAGAGGAGGTGGTAGGAGGTAGGAGACAGGAAGAGTTAGGGGGAGGTAAGAGGAAGTAGGACGAGGTAGGACGAGGAACGATGATGGAGGAGGAGGAGGTAGGTCGAGGTAGGAGGAGGTAGGAGGAAGCAGGAGAATAGGAGAAGTAGGATACGGTCGGCGGAGGTAGGAAGAGGTAAGAGGAGGCAAGAGGAGGCATGAGGAGGTAGGACGAGTTAGAACGAGGAGCCAGGAGGGAGGAGGCGGTAAGATGACGTAGGAGGCGGCGTTGCTGCTTTAGCCGCTGCTGTTTGTGATGTCGATGTTGCTGCAAGTGTTGCTGCTCGTGCTGCGCCACTGTTGCCTCTGCCGCGGCTGCTGGCGTTGCCCCTGCTCTGGCTTTTGCTCCAGCTGCTGCCGTCGCTGCCGGTGGTAAGTTTTGCTCCCGCCGCGGATCCTGACCTCGGAGCTCTCTGGAGATCCCCAGGGCACCTGGAGGCCTCCAGAGGCCACTCAAGAACCAGAAACGTCCAGAAAGCCATCCGAAACTTTCCGAGAACCTCCCCCATCGATCCTCGAGAGGCCGGGGGCGTAACTTATCACTTTCCACATCTTCCCTCATATCCCTGATAACTTTCCTCACTTTTCCTCACTTTCCTCATCTTCCCTACTTGCCTCGCTTTCCTCAGCTTTCCTCACTTTCCTCACCTTTCCCCACTTTCCTCAGCTTTCCTCGCTTTCCTCACCTTTCCTCACTTTCCTCACCTTTCCCGGCCTTTCATCACCGGTCCTCACCTTTCGTCACCTTCCTCACCTTTCCTCGCTATCCCCACTTCCCTCATCTTCCCTATTTGCATTTGAAATAACGTTTCCTTCAAGCCGCTCGCGAGCGAAATCACGCAGGCCACGTTTATTGGACGCAAAAAATGCGGCGGTATTTCGTTCAAGTCAAGGGGCGCCGTATTTCAAGCCATCTTTTTCCTACCAAAAAGTGCCTTGAAGTACCATGGTTGTTGTGGCATACTTTGCACGTGGTTTCTGTGACTCCGATCGCGCCCAACTTGAACCCAATGACGCTATGTAAATTAAGTATGACTCCCAACGCACTGATTGTTCTTAGGCGTTTTTACTTGCAGGGGGTGTGGGGGGGTGCCAGACCAGCGCTGCTCGTGTCCTTGCGCCATAGTGACGCGCCAAGTCAACTCGAGCGTCGTAACGGGGGGAAGGCTCGGAGTTGCAGGACCAGCGCTGCTTGTGTTTTTGCGCCCTCGTGACGCGCCAAGTTAACCTAAATGTCGTAACGGGGGGGTGGGCCTCGGAGTTGCAGGACCAGCATTGCTTGTGTCGTTGCGCACTAATGACGCGCCAAGTTAACTTGAGTGTCGTGACACGGGGGCTCGGAGTTGCCAGACCAGCATTGCTTCGGTCTTTGCGCGCTAGTGACGCGCCAAGTTAACTTGAGTGTCGTAACGGGGGGGGGCTCGGAGTTGCCAGACCAGCATTGCTTCGGTCTTTGCGCGCTAGTGACGCGGCTTTGTCGCGCTAGTGCACGCGCCAAGTTAACTTGAGTGTCGTAAGGGGGGGGGCTCGGAGTTGCCGGACCAGCATTGCTTCGGTCTTTGCGCGCTAGTGACGCGCCAAGTTAACTTGAGTGTCGTAACGGGGGGGGGGCCTCGGAGTTGCCGGACCAGCATTGCTTCGGTCTTTGCGCGCTAGTGACGCGCCAAGTTAACTTGAGTGTCGTACCGGGGGGGGGGCCTCGGAGTTGCCAGACCAGCATTGCTTCGGTCTTTGCGCGCTAGTGACGCGCCAAGTTAACTTGAGTGTCGTAACGGGGGGGGGGGCTCGGAGTTGCCAGACCAGCATTGCTTCGGTCTTTGCGCGCTAGTGACGCGCCAAGTTAACTTGAGTGTAGTAACGGGGGGGGGGGCTTCGGAGTTGCCGGATCAGCGTTGCTTCGGTCTTTGCGCAAATTTCTGAAGCAATCGGCACGCATAGAGGAGCGCACGAAGACGCGTCGTTGCGGGGGGGGTGAATGCCCCCCCCCTTCAGTGACACCTCAAGTCGACTTGGAGTGTCACTCACCCCCCCTGGGCACCAACACGCAATGTCTTTCGCATTGCTTTTGGCACTTGCGCCTGGCTTGGGGATGTACCGAGGGGGGGTGAACGACACCTCAAGTCAACTTGAGGTGTCACTGAGGGGGGGGTGCATTCACCCCCCCCTCAGTGACACTCGTCGCTTCCGTCTTTGAGCCAGCGCAAAGGCATGAGCAGCGTCCTCCCTCAACAGCCCTCGAGCATCGCCTGACTCCTCAACAAACCTCGAGCATCGCCTCTGCTCCCCTACCTCCCTCCTTGCGTCCATTATTTTCTCGCCCGCGGATCGGCCAAAAATGGCTGGTATTTCAAGCAACCTTTTGGGGGCGAAAAGGTGGCTTGAAATACGTTGGTGTTTTTTCCACATGGGGTGTGAAAACGAAAGCAAGAAGCGAATCAGGAACATGTTGACCGTCGCGGGCCCTAAACAGTGACTTGTTGCACCATGGAGGTGTAACCTATGTGGTGCATGCTATTGTGATTAAGCTACGCGGTGTAATCTATGTGGTATATGATGTGTTATGTAAGGTATGCGGTGTAAGCTATGCGGTGTAAGCTATGTTTAGCGAGCGCCCGCAAGGCGGCACGGAGGGAAGTAAGGGAGGTGAGGGAAGTGAGGGAAGTGAGGGAAGTGAGGGAGGTGAGGGAAGTGATGGAAGTGAGGGAGGTGAGAAAAGTGAGGGAAGTAAGAGAAGTGAGGGAAGTGGGGGAACTGAAGGAAAGCGCCCCACGACTGTGAGGCAGAAAAGAGAGGAGCGCATCACGACTGTGAAGCAGAAAAAAACGGAGCGCCCCACGACACTGAAGCAGAGAAAAGAGAAACGTATCACAACTGCGAAGCTGAAAAAA